ACAAGCATGCTAACAAGGGAAACATCATTATAATCATAACAATATTATACCGCGGCGCATATTCCTCATCCACAGGATCAATGAATGGCCAGGCATCCGCATGATCTTTGAGACTTTCAAGAACTTTATGCATCCCGACACGGCGTTCCTCTTCTTCAATTCCAAACGAATATCCGTATTTATATCCATACTTGGTGGACACATAATTTCCGTCACTGTTACTTCCAATCCCTTTCTTTTTTTCTAATCCTTCTACTTCGTCCCTAGTATGAATCACAATTTGACCAACGGCCGATGCTAATGAATTATTAGTCTGTCGTCCTTTCTTCTGAACAGGCGGTGAGGACAAGGGTGGAGGTGTTTCTTCTTTAACATAAACGTTCTTCGAGTTCTGCGTCCCCTTTTTGCTGCCTTTGTTTGTTTTAGTTTTGATCTTCGATCTAACCATGACTGTTTCCATCTGTGTGGCAGGTTCGTGACTACGAAGAACTCGCGAACTATTGCGTTGTAACAACTTGCGTCTTTGTTGCTTTTCTTTTAAGTCAAAAAGCTTGGGGATTTCGGGCATGAAATCCTTGGATAGAGTACGGTAGAGTTTACGTTCGGTATCGTACTCCTAAGTAGTATAATAACATTATTAAATAGATCTAAAGGAGAAAGCGATTAACACTCTTGTTCAATGAGACAATTACCGAATCGCGAAATTTCTCAACTAAACGACTCCAGTCCTGCTGAGTAAAACAGACAACTTGCCAGACACTTTCTTTCCCTTCCTCGTGTATTAAACAGTCTTCCTTCTTCTCCTCCTCTTCCTCTTCCTCTTTCGCCACTCTGCTTCGTCGTCTTTTACGCTTTTTATCCCTAGGTTTACTTTTCTGTTTGTGTGAGATGCTGTTAGAAGTATCAATGTAGTCCTCCCTATATAATCGAGTGCCGTAAAAGTACCAATAGGCAGAATTCTTACGATCATGTCCTAAAGGTTCGACTCGCAGACTATCCGAGTCCAAATTACTTAATGAATGCTCCTGCAAATAGATAACAAACAGAACCCTTATAACGAACATTGTTTACCAGAAATTAATGGATCGAGTCAGTTCTCAAATACATACCACGTCTTCAGCGTCAAGCCTGAAGTCGCAGAGGGCTCTTAGTATTTCTACTTTTTGACGAAGAGGCAATAACTCAAAATCTACATCTGTATTAAAAGGATTCTCACATTTGTATTCCTTAAAAGAAAAAAACACATTGATTATTTATAATGGCAATGCAAACATATAAGTATACATTTTGCTTTAACTTCAAACTGTGTAAAATTTATTTTACCTGACATTTCTTACGAAATAATCTACGGAGAAACATCTGGTAATTAAAGGTGGAGATGTCATTGCGAGTGTCATTAGGTAAACAACCTTCAAGTAATCTGACTATTAGTTCCTGTACTAAATGTCCCTCGGTTCCACCGTCCGTTAATAAAGCTTCCTCTAAATCCTAGAACAATGTCCAAAATTAATATACAAGTACACATATATGTACACCGTTTGAAACATTAATCAACGCATCAACCAAATAATAATGCATAAGCCATTAGTAACATAATAAAGCCAAAGCACGATCTAAGTAACATCCAGGAAGCTGAAGCGGTACTAACAAATCTCTTATATAATGCCTACTTATACGAGACGGCATTCAGGTATGTACCTCAATATCAAAGTCCAGAAGATTGAAGGCAGCCCTAAATAATGAGCAGAAGTGTGCTATACTTGGCACCTCCCACCACGATTGAATGTCTAAAAAAATAAAGGAACAATTGAGAGTTCCTTCACATTATATTTTTTTAATCTCTCGTATACTTCCTTTTGCACAGAGTATACCAAACTTAATGTTTATGGCTTTAGGTTGTAAATCTACGGCCTCACATCTGTTAACATTTATGAAAGAGTAACCTCTAATAAAGTTACTTACAATACTAAAAATTAATACTAACGGTTTTAATATCAATCAATCCTGCTTAACTGTCAATAAGATTCAATATTCTCTTTTTAAGGGCAACAATGCAGCACTGAATATTTGATGTAGCCAAATAATACAGAATATACGTAATATTACTAATAGTGTTAATATTATTCCAATCTTCTAGATGACTATATTCTTAGTGCACACTAATTATTATATTAATTAACAGACCAAAATTAGTGTATATAAGTAAATGTCCCATTGATGAGCAATAATGTTACAATTATATTCAATATCAAACCAATTGCTTATAGAATTAGACAAAATTATATTAACATTCTTTTATATTTTTATCAATTCTGAGATACGTTATTTCACAAACATCTATAGATCCAAGGACATAGATCCTTCTCCTAAAACCATAATCATCAACTCTTTTATACTCTGTACAGAATCTATTTATTGTGAGAATAATATAGGCTTTAAAATATTGTACATTCTGTTCAAAAGAATCATTTCTTAATAATTTCAAATAAAAACTGACTACACTTTATTTTATGAAAGTATTGTATTATTTGAATTAAATAATGTAATATTATTAATGAGATAATATATTACAAGAAAACCAATAAGTTATTCCTTATTTCTATAATAATATTAAAATTGATGTATAACCATCACGAAATTCAACTTTTTATGTTTCATTTTATCATTATAGCATTCACTTTAAGTACATTTATAAAGGAGTGTCCAATTTAATTAATATGTCTATAATGGAAAAAAAACAAAATAAAATAGTACTTTAAAAAGACATATATGTACAGTAATCTAATGTCAGTTTAACTATACAGGGTGCATGACCTTTCAAATTCTGAACGAGTTTCAAGAATACGGAAAAATGTCTCTTTCTTTCTGGCACTTCTTACTTTAAGTAACTCTGACATAATGAAAGTATATTTACATTGTAGGTAACAATAAAATGACACAAATGTAACACACAACCTACAAGTGTTTACAAAGCATGTCAATACCTTTCTCAAATCATCGAGTAAGAAATATTCTCCCCAAAGGTCTATTATATTTTAACGTCAATTGCCTATGATCCATATTACTCGAAGAGACACGAGCTCTCAATACTTTTCGCCAGAAACCGACAAACGAACATCTCACTGCCAATAAACAGAAATCTTCATTTACAACTGTACACATAAATATTAGAAATACATATAAAACAGCTGCTTGATCCAATGATATGTCCCATCTTGTACTGTTTACCCAACA